CAGGAATGCGTGTCGGAGTTCATAAGCTTCATAACGGGCGAGGCCTCCGACAAGTGCCAGCGGGAGAAGCGGAAGACCATCAACGGCGACGACCTCCTCTGGGCCATGACAACGCTCGGCTTCGAGGACTACGTCGACCCTCTCAAGGTTTACCTCCAGCGCTTCCGGGAGATCGAGGGCGAGAAGACCGTCGCCGCTCGCGACAAGGACGCTGCCTCCGCCGCCGCTACTTACGACTACCCCTCCCCCTCCCCCTCTCCCTCCCCCGCCGTCATGCACCATCACCATCACCATCACCATCACGGACACGGACACGTGTACGGCTCCCCCGCCTTCCACGCTCCTGTTATGCCTATGCCTAAGCCTGGGCCTTTGCCTGGGCCTGGGCCTGGCCCTGGCCCCACTTATCCTCCTGGTAGACCCAGATAGACACACACACACGTGCTCCTCTCTTCGCCAATCGCCACTCCTTTTCTATTTTATTATTATTATTATTATTATTATTATTTTTAAAATCATAAACACACGCAACACTAATTAATTTGGGGGTTGCCTTGCGTTAATTTTATTAATTAATCTCTCAACTCAAGTCAAGGCAACTCAACTCAATTCCATTCTCTTATTACACCAACAAATAAGTATGGAGTTCCTATTTTATTTTCATTCGCAATTCACTTCCTCACTTAGTGTTGCTACTGCTTCTACCATCCGTACAGTGTTTTTTTTTTTTTTCCTACCACGTGTATTATTATTATTTGCGGTTCAATGCAAATTGTCAAATATTCCTTTTTCTCTTCCAATTCATTTTTTTATATATATATATATATTATAAGGGAGGGGTGAAGATTGTTGATGGCGTGATGAATTGGTAGAAAATATCTGTATAAAGTATAAAGTATATCCAGCATGAAAAGTGTTGTATGGGTCTATTTGGATATTGGTGGAGTAAATGCTGAGTTACTTACGGCGTAGGGAACAAGGCCAACACCCAACATTAAGTCTTTAACTAAGTCCAAAAGCTCCGTCTTAATTTTGTTAGGGGCAAAGGAAAATATTTCCTATATTAAATCAATTTCATTATGCTATATCTTACTAATAAATAATATTATTTAAAAATAAGCAAGAATTCTTAAATGAACAATATTATTTAAAATAAAAATCACATTCACAATTAAAAAATATTATTTATTATATTTAATTAAATTAATATTTGATTATAATAATTATATTAATTTTTAAGTTGTTAAAAAATGAAGTATAGATAAAAAATTATAAAAGTGTAGATAACTTATAAAATTTTACCATTGGAATAAAATTTATAATACGGAGAATCTTATTTAAAGTAAAAATAGATATATAATATGAAAAAATGTGCAATTAACTTGATAATTGGATAATTATTGATGAAGTTATTTTATGGTATTTGTCTGAAAGGATATTTTATAAGGGTTATTTTTATAAAGTTATTACACAAGTATACTTTACAATGATGAGATATTGTCCGCTTTGAACCTAAACTCCCACGATTTTGTTTTTGGTCATTACTCAAAAGGTCTCTCTATCATTGAAGTATGTTTGTGCTATATAAGTTATTATTTTTTATCTTATTTTATCGATGTGAGACTTGTTTGTATCCCAACAATTATTTATTAGTTAAGGAATAAAAAAATAGAAAATTTAAAGAATAAAATAAAATATCAATTTTATTAATTGTTAAAAATGACTATAAATATTAAGGGTTTTTTTTTTCTATTTTGGAGATGTGATTGTATCTGTTGTGTGGTTACTTTTTTTTTATGGACATGATCCACGTAGTGTTTTGTTGACGTAAGTTAATGACAATGTAAGTATCTAGAATTGACAAATATACCTAAAACTCTAAGAGTTACTATTGAGTATTCATAGATTAAAAAAGAAATTATGATGAATACGAGATTAAACTATCATCATTTGTTTAATGGAATATTTTTTAGACTACAAATAAAGTTTCAAATCATTGGATCACAAGGAAAAATAAAGGTTTATATAGCACATATTATTTATTGGTATGAGATATGATAAAAATAAAACTATGAGAGTTTAGACTCAAAGTAAATACTATCATAATAATATAGAAATATATGTGTGTCTGAATCTCGAATATCCAAGAGTTACTTAGTCTCGCCCCTTAAACCACTATCTTTTTTTATTTAAAGAAACCACTATTTTATTTTTCTATTTTATAATGAAAATAAATGAATAATATATACGTTGAAAGCATATTTTTATATTTATGATCTTTTATATGTATTGAAGACATATTATTATCTAATTATAATTTATTATGTATAGTAAAATTATTGCTTTTCATAATAATTATATTAAAAGTGATACTATCGCCAATTTCTGATTAGTTACCGTTATAAGTTTTTTTACCATCTCAACACACGACTATTAATCTCTAACAAATTATGTGTGTAGGACACGGGCTTTCATACTTTACCTCGACCTTTGTTTATCTTGCTCCAAGATTTTCCTTGGGCTTTTTGAATCATTTTTTGGCAGCGTTTGTCTCAGTCCAATTAAATCATTGTAGCAAGCCACGCCAGCCCACAACTATACCATCTCATATGGCAATGAAATAATGTAAAACTCTAATAATGTAATTGGTGTTTATTATAGTATAATTTGTGCTTATTTTTTATTTACTGTCTTTTAAATGTCACTTTTTTTATTATTTAATTTATCATTTATTTAAAAATAAATCATAACCTTTTAATATTTAAAAGATAATGAAAAACTCATGTTATTTAAATGAATTAAAAAATGAACAAAATTGAACTTAATTAAAATGAATGAAAAAAATAAATTTTCGTGTAAAATAAAATATTTTTATTAAAGATTAGCCAAACTTTTCAGAGTACTATATTATAATTAGAGTAGTTAAAGTAAGTGCATAGTATTTCAAAAAATTTAAAAACCTATTTTAATACTTAGAGATTTGATTTAATAATTTTCATACAATCAACAATATTTGAAAGAAAAAAAATTCCTCTTACCAGAAAATTAAATTATTTAAATAAAAAATATCGGTTTATTGTAGGGTTTAGCTTCATTGTCGAATTCCTATTATTAATATCCAAAGAAATAAGATATTTATAATATTTTGTTAGCAACCGAAGCAAAAGATATTTTTTAATTGTCGTAGAAAGAAGAAAGAGTG